GAGGTGCCGCTGCGCGTGTTCCCGGCCGTACCGGTGGTCGGGAGCCGCCTGTCCCCCACGCTCCAGTCCCTTCCTCCTCCGGGGTAGTGCAGGTCGAGGTTTTTCACTGCTTGCCAGGAGGAGAGAAAATATCTGTTTAGGTTTTGAGTCGCTCCTACTTCGCTGGCAACTACTTTTTTTCCTGCCGTTGGTGGCTTCCCTGTCTTAAGTTTCAATATAAATACATTTTATTTGAGCACTTCTTCAAAAAAAAAAAACCAAAAAACAAAAAACCGAAAACCACCCAAAACAAACTCAAACCTCAAAACTTTTCCTTTTAACCTTTCTATCATGAAAGTATCACGCTAGCTTGACTTTTTTTAACTTCCTTTCACCTCGTGTGGACCATCCACCATTCAGGACAAATGACAAAATTTGTAACAGAACAAAGGAAACTAAGAACCGAAGCCTGCTAACATTCTAAGTATGCGTAGCAGCCTTTTTTTTTTCTTTTTCTTTGGCCAGCCAGACCTGCTGTACAGAAATAACAGCACTTGAAAAGTTCAGTTGGATGCCAGCATTGATTGCTTATGTTCTGATATCACAGGAAAAATATGTCTACCTAATATATGCACAAATTGTGGATGCTGTGAGAGGCAGCATAGAGATATCCATGATATGCTTTGAAAGTAGTTTGTTATGAGCATCCTATCCTGATTAAAATAGAGTGGTCTTAGGGGGAAACTAATTAAAAAACATTCATTTGACACCAGTGCACTTTCTTTGAGCCCCTGCTTGTGTCTTTTAGGTGAGAGTGAAGTGTCCTGTCATCGGCATAAATATTTGCTTTACTCGGCAAAGTGCAAATAGTCATGACTAAAGCTAAAATCAAACCAAAAGGTCCTACTGGGTTACTTGCACTGTGACAGCTAGAAGAACCAGTCTCAGATCACAAGAGCCCCACTAGCAAAAGTAACGCATATAGCAAAATCCGAGTCTCTTCTCTAGTGAACTTTTCAATAGGACAAGATGAGCAGCAGCTCAGGGCAGGCTTGCAGGAGAGTACAAAGAAATAACCATAAGATGTTTTCATTAAAGATGTTTTCAAGCCCTGAGAGCAAATCACAGTCTAGAACACACGTATTGATAAAAAGGCTTTAGGAGAAAACTTATTCTCTGCCACCTGTAAGTTAGCACGTGAAAAATACTTTTAAGAATCTTGCTCTGATATACTTTGTTCAGAAGTAGATGTTGGCAGAAATTACCCCACAGATATTTTATCCACGCATAAATGCTATAGTACAAGATGCAGAACTTTCAGAAAGAGAGTAGGGAAACAGTGTACAGGAAGCTTACTGCTTGTTTCTTTGGTTATCTGGCGTTGTACGAATGAGTGCTGCGTAACATTCCTGGAAGTGTTCAAGGCCAGGTTGGACAGGGTTTTGAGCAACCTGATCCAGTGGAGGGTGTCGCTGCCGATGGCAGGGAGGTTGGAACTGGATGATCTTTAAGGTCCCTTCCAACTCAAACTATTCTATGATTCTATGAAAGCCAAGAATATCTGAAAAGGAGCTGCAGAAGAACGTAACCGTGTATTATTCTTGTTTCATTGCAGTCCTCTGTTTCTAATTATAAGCCAGCTGCTGAAATGACTTCATTCAAGAACTATTTTGATTTGATCCTATCTACTACATTAGTTTTAGGCTCAGAGTTCCCAAACTCCAATAATCTATGTAATTCAAAAGCAATATGATTACAAAATATTAAATATGTCCATTTTTTCTTCCAAGAAAAATAACTCTTACCAAAAAAAAAGCTTAAAAATACAATTTCATTTTTTCCCAGGTAAGACTTGGTTTTCAAGAAAAAGAAGAAAAATGATTTTTATATGTCATAACTTTCCTTCATAAACATGTTGCTATAATTTTGTCTTTTATAAGCACATCAGTACAGTACAAAGCAAATGTTTTGTATTTCAGGTATACGAGAAATCTTGTGGACAATGGAAATGGAAAATTCAACTTGATGATCTTGTGCTGGGGTGAAGGGCATGGCAGGTTTGTATCCAAAGGCTATGGTTCTAGCAAAGAGATAAAGCCACTGTATCTTTCACTGTCATATGAAAAGACACAAATAATCAGCCCTATGTGAACTATCAGAAAGCGTCCAGAAACTAAGCAATGCAGAGCTCCTATTGGTATAGCAGTCCTGAATATTTGCTATATCTCTTGCAAGTTTGTATCTCATGGACCTTTTTAGAGTGCTTTTCTAAAAATGCTCTGGTTTTCTGCCAAATCTAAGCTGCTCTTCTGCCAGGGGAAGTTTTTAGTCCCAGAGATACAGAGGGTCCTGTGGCAGGGTCTGTTGAACACACCCTGTTCAACCTGTCCCATGCAACAGACCCATACAACACTCGGTTGCAGAAGCAGGACTTGATGCACTTCAAATAGTCTTTGTTCTCTTATGGTGTTTAAATCCCACCTCTGTGAGAAGAAAAGTAGGTTTGGGTTAGGACTGTGGGCTATGAGGAGGGAGCCCCTTTCCAGGAGTGCTTGCCTTTAGGTTCACACATCCCATCTCTTCCCTCGAGACAGACCATGCTGCTGATACAGCCTCCAGAGTTATGTACACAGACTGTACACTGAGTTGTATGGTCCTACAAACATGAGGTCGGGATCTGTCCCTTCAAGGGTCTTTCTCAAAATGTTGGCTAAAACAAAACACGGATTAACAAAACTTGCAAGTTTTGACTGATCATTCTTGCATATAAATAGAAAACCTAAGGAGATGTCAGAGCTGTTTTTTTGTTTGTTTTAGTTGAGCATGCAATTGAATATTTACAGTATTCTCTAGGGGATGCCATGACGTTATACTCAGAGGGATATAGGAACCAAGCCCACTACCTCTGCTCTTTCCACAGCATTCTGACAAAGCCTGTAATTTATGTCAAACTGTGTTTGAGTTGGATGAGTGTTTGCTAGAGCTAGACTGAGACCACAAGTTGTTTTTGCTTCCTACATGATCAGGATCAGATTGTTCTTATGGCTTGTGGAAGGAGCGTGACAACGTGGCGTTAGTGAACAGTTCTGTGCCTGAAGCAAGCTCTGCTCTCTTGGCATCTCGCTTATTAAGAAACCCTGACATTTGTTTACTGAAAACAGTAATGTACAAGTACCAAGTTTTTGACTGGAACTCATTAGCACTGTACTTCTGGGAGAGTTAAATTCGCTCCTCTCTCTCCCCCACCGATGAGTGGAGAATTCTCCTTTTGTCTTAATCCCATTGACTTCTGTAACAGTTAGTCCTCTATTTAAAAAAAATAAAACCAAAACTAAACATGTTTAGTCCATATGTCTCCAAATGTAACAATTAAAACATACTTTGGAGCAAGGAGACACATCTAGCAAGGAGACAAATCATAGTAGATCCTGCTGCTTTGTTCACGTTTTGCCAAAACAGTGAAAATAACAGGTTACTGTAGCTGGTTGTAATTAGTACTATCAGAGTGAGAGGTACAGCATTTTTTCTCCAACAAATGCCTGTGCACCACAGCAGTAAAGAGACCATAGAAATTATGTAGAAGCAGCTCTTTTCTTCCATGTTTTGGGAGCGAGCATGGTAGATCTGCAAATATCAGGTATACTTGTGAGTTTATACCAGCCTCTGCCTGGGGTCACTGTGGAAAGCACTGTTTTGTTTCTTGGCCCAGAAGAATTTGTGTTCTGAAGAATTTTTCTGCCCTCCTCCAGACTTCCTTTGTACTTCTCTGTGTCAAAGTCATAGGTTGATCAATATCTGATTCTTTTTCAAGTCCTGCTGTATGTGAGCTTTTCCTAATACGTTTCTAAAGTAACAGTTTTAAGTAGGCATACTTTAGCCCTGTGAATCTCTTCTTTTTCCAAAGTTTTTTGTGCAATGACATTTCATTCTAGGGCTATGTTCAGATACAATATGTTATGCCATCTGTCCTATTTGCTGTACTGAAATTAAATATGTATATCACACTGAGTTTGGTTATTCTTTTTCCATATATAGCAGCATCCATGATCACACTGACTCACACTGCTTTATGAAGATCCTCCAGGGAAATCTAAAGGAGACTCTGTTTGAATGGCCTGAGAAAAAAGGGAATGGTGAAATGTCTAAGAAATCAGAACGAGTTTTGAGGGAAAATCAATGTGCCTACATTAATGGTGAGCTATCAAGCTTGTTTTGATAAGTAACCATCCATGAGTATTATTCCTAACAGAAGAGTTCATCTGCTCTCTAGTCTACTGTTTTTAACAGTATAATACTAATGGTTTTATGCACAGTTTAAGAATGTAGCTCTCTAGATTCTGCACAAACCTGTATTTAGATTCAGTAAAGCAAACAACAAAAATGTCCTTTTAACTCACTCTTAAGACATTGCAGCAGTTGCTTGATACTTAAATATGCCAGGCATCTCCTCTAGACCAAGCAGCCTTCAGTGCTGTGTCCCTAATGACTATGTGAAATTGCTTATAAATGTAGACCTTAGATAGTATTTTGTGAGAAATAAGGGAACCAAAATTTAGATAGCTTAACCACCTTCACTTTTTCTCAAAGAAATCAAACTTTTAGTCAGTCATGGAAATCCTACGTCAAAATATAAAAGCTGTCTATGGAATAAATTGACCAGCCAGGAGCAGAGACCCTGATCCTCAGTGCTACTTCTTGTACAAATAGTGCTGAAGTGCAGTGTCAGCAGAATTGAAGTCCTGAGTCTACCCAATCTACAAAAAAAAGTTGCCCCACTGCACAGATGCTGAGACATGACTAAATCTCTACCAGTAAGGCTCACTAGGTACCTATATCCATGCCATTACACATATCTGTAGCTCTCACCATCTTGTCCTATGCTGCAGTCCATCCTGGAGTGGCCAGCTGGGTCTAACATATTCTGAAGCTGTGAAAGACATTGCACATCACACTGGACAGCAATGAGTTCATGAGAACAAAGCAAAGCATCAAATAAGGGGGCTGTCTGCCTTTTACATGATGAGTTAAAAACTGGAGCACACACCTTGTGGGCTGAGGTTGAACTCCTCAGTTAGCGGGAACCTCATGTTGGGTTATGGACTAAGCCAGGGAGAGGGCATTGAGGAAGACAGTCTAGTTCTCTGCAGCCCTCTGTTGAAGGTATGCCACATTAAGTGAAAACACATAATCCATAGGAGAGGAAATGCAAGAAGGAGCTTGACATGTCTGTGATGCTCCCATGCCAGGGATGTCAGTTCTTGGACTCAGCTAGGTTTTCCTACGCATGTAGTTCTTTCTGACACAAGCAATTGCACCCTGTGTGCATCTGATCCAAGGCCTCCTTGGTTGTTTTAAACAAATTTGATGTCCAGTTCTCTGAGGCAGTTTGTATCTCTGCCATGCTTCACAGCAGAAGTTTTGGTTTAAAAGAAACAGATAAGTAGAAAGAAAACACTGACAGTGTGTTGATTGCCCTAACTACTTCAATAGTGAGTGAGCTTCGTGTTTCTATTGTGTTCTTCTTGGTTGCTCTTGTACATTATTTTTAAGGTTAGAACCACTAAACAGAGTTTGCTCAAGTTTCCCATGAGATGAGCTTAGATTTAGGACTTTTTTTGCCCCTATGTTCTCTATTTAGATAAAATATGTCAACAACATTTAGTGCTTACGCTTCAAATATATCAGAGTTAAGAGTGTACTCATTCTCAGTGTATCATGCCTATGTTGCACAATATAGGTCTAGGTATTATAGAACACATTAATTTGAGTACGAAGGCCTGAGATGTTTTTAGAGCAGGGTCATAAATTTAAATTCAAGGTCTCTCTTAAGTAACTCAAAAACTCCACTTTAGTGTAGAATGGAAATAGTTTATTTCATGGATGTGATTCTTCACACCTTAAATTTTTATGTAACAGCTTGATTTCTACTCCATCATCGCAGGAAGTGCCTTCACTTCATTAGTAACCACACAGTAGACAGTGCCTCCTTTTATTACATGTTCAATTATGCTTACTGTTCAGTCAAGCCTGGAGGTATGCCAGTCACTACCAATTTGTCACTTCAGTCAAAAGAGCAGATAAATGAAAAGCCTGTTTTCCAAACTAATAAATCGGAAGGATTAATGAGGAAACAGGTGCCTGCAGTAGAAGACAAATATATCTCTGACTGTAAGTCCATGCCCCAGATACACGTAGCTGACCTTTAATGTGACTGGTATCCTTGTTACCGGACTGAGAATTACCAATACAAAAACTTTTTCCCTATAAAACAAATTTCTAGAAACACAAACCTTCTTCTTTCTGGAGCATCTATGACAACAGGATCTCCTAGGAAAGTAAATAACCTTTAAGTTCTTTGGGAATGATAGCTAGAAAATTACTGACAGCATGGCCTTCCTTAAGTTTCTCTGGATTTCTGTTGGCCTTTATCCTGTAGCAAATCATCTAGAAGTTACAACAATAGTGGAAGGCAATAGGGTATTTTGAATTACCAGCATGTTTAAGAATCTGTGCTAGAGAACAGCAGTCAGGTTCTCTGTACTGAGTTACCTGTTGCCCATAAAAGCTGGGGCATGCCTAACTAGCTTGCTCGTGAGTTTCAGTTTAGAAAGCATTTTTTCCAAGTTTCTGAGATCTCGTTAAATCTTTCCGCTAACACAACCTCTCGTTTCATGCCCTTGCTGTCGTAGACTCCATTGGCCTTCACCGCGTGGAGAACATAAGCCACACAGAGTCTGCCGTTAGCCTGCACTTGTACAGCCCGCCCTTCGACAGCTGCAACACCTTTGATCAGAGGACTGGACACAAGCACAAAGTCAAGATGACCTTCTACAGCCAGTTTGGAGAAAGGACTCTCTGCGTAAGTAGGAGATGACGCGCTCCCCGCCTGGCCCGGGGCTCTGAGCCTTCCCTCGGCCCCTGCGAGGACAGGTGCAAGGGGCTGCCCTCATGCCTGTGCAGGTGGAGTGCCGGTGCCCCAGGGCAGGCAGGAGGTCCAGCAGCCCTGCCTTTGCTGGCACATCTCCGTCTAGGACCAGTGTAAAACCTGTTTCTAAAAACTCCGCTCTTTGTCAATTTGCACTTCCTTCATGCGGAGTTCCCTGCTTTGTAGCTTGCCTCCCCTTCATCAGCAGGAGGTCAGTTCCGAGCAGATAGGAGGATTACTGAGAATTTTGTGACTAGCTAAGCGTCGTCAGGCAGCAAACGATTGTAAATGCAACCTAGTCAATGGAAAACTGTGAAGCAGCTACGTTGTTTTGGCCAACTTAAGGCATGTGTAACGTTTCCTGCCTAAACTGTTCTGCCAAAAAGCATCATGTTTCAAGTCAGTTGTTTTAAATCTTGTAGCTTACTGGAAAGTAAAGAATTCTTTAATAAAGTTAATTTAATTCTTTAAGATCAAAACCTTGACACAGAAACACTTGCTCTGAGAGTGGGCTGATAGGCTGTTGTCTGCGTTCTTGAGCAATGGCATGAGATTTTACTTGGATAGAAAAGAAATCTCAAGATCAGCTTTGGGGGACCAGGCTAGGACATCTGGGAGAGTTTAATAGGGTTCCTTTTAGTGCTTTTCCATGCATTGGGACACATAACTACTCATATAGGGAGAAAAGACAGATTCTTGATGTCCAGCCACAGAGGTTCAAAGACTGTTTGGTTTTGTTAGATACAGAACACTTTCACCTTTCACTGAAGCCAGAAATTCAGTGCTCAGGAGTTTCCTGGAGTGAGCCCTTAGTATGACCCAGTTAAAGTTTTATATAATCAACAAGTACCATGTAAATTATTTCTTTGAAGCTTGTCACATTATGTGATTACAACTTTACCAAACTGCTGAAACACAAACTTTGACCTTCCTGAGTTTGAAAGGTCCTTGAGAAAGTAAACTCAAATTTATAATTCAGATTTTAAAGGGAAATAAACTTGGGAAAATGTTGAACAAAATTCATGCAAGAATTCAGCATTTGCTTGCTTTCTTTTTGTTTTGTTTATTGAACATAAAGTATGTAAGATAGTGAGCGAGACTAGATGTTTTGACGTGGACTGTTTTCCTGCCCTTGATTTGTAACCATCTGGTAGAGTTTGTACCTTTTGTAGGAAACTGGATCTGGCTTACAGGAGAGAGGTAAATCTTAATCATTTGGTCTCTTTCATGAATTCCTGTAAATGGAATTCCACTAAGGGGGATAGTGGCAGCGAGTCTGGGCCATTCCAGCTGCCTGAAATGACTTCACGCTACAAAAACCTTCTGGTCTCAGTGAGGGTTTCTGGAAAGCTGACTGGAAAATCAAACTTTCTTCGGCTTACCAGATCTCAAAAGGATGTAGGAAGACAGAGAGAGATAAGTCAAAAACACCGAGAGAGCAATGTAAAGTATACTTGTGCCTCTTTTAGGAGTGAGAAAATCTGCCTAGCTAAAGCACATTCAGTGCTTCCTCTTTCTCTTAAATTTTTCTGCAGATAAAACACATAGGCTTCTGGCCATAATGAAGTCTTAATTAACTAAATCTCCATATAAGTAATTACACAGTAAATTTATTATATAAGCCTAATAATTAAAATAGTATGTAGTATGTCCAAAGACTTGCCCATGGAAGTAACTGTCTGCATAGTTCAGGTACAAACCATGAGAATACCAATGCGAAAGTTCATCAAGGGAAAACTGATTTTGACTTGGGTGTCACAGCACATCAGTTCCTCCTGACAGGAATTTTGCTGGGGGAGGTGGTTTCTCTTTGCAGCCTGTCTTCCAAGCTGGACTTTCAAGAACTTTCTGTCAAAAGAAAGCAGAGTGGAGATAAAAGATAGCCTGAAGGAGGAAGGACTCCCCTGCTGTCCCTTGTACTGTGGGCTTGCTTGTAGTCACACAGAGCCCATGGATAGGGTGATTTTGTCAGGTGCACACTGCTCTCTATAAAACTCTGGCAAGGAGTACTGAAAATAAATACGTTAAGTGTTTTAAGGTGCTGAGCTACTCCAGCAACAAAGTGCCATGCTGAGAACATGAAGTAGGTGGTGACCGCCTCTTTCCTTAAAAGAGCAACCTCTCCTCTTTCCTTTCAGGCAACAGCAGTGCCGCAGGAGAACAACTGAGAAGCACCATCACGTGTTTGCATAAGACCTGCTGAATGTTCAACCAGGGACAGAAGACTTGCATGGCTAAGTTAGCCATGCTGGCACAGCCAGCTGTATTTCTATACCTTGTACACATAAGTACACTAGGGCAGCTTCCAGGCCACCCGCAGTTCCCCCGAGCGAATGACGATTATGGGACACTGAGCTAACTAGTGCCATAAACTACTTCAGAGGTTAGATGCCTTTTCTTAGGCTCCTGTCAGAATTAAGTTTTTCTGACTCTAGCCTCCTTTTAATTCCACTTCTGATACCACACTGAGAATATCACAAATAGGGTTTTTACACATCATCTGACACTACTTAATAGGCCTACATGTATGTGTGCTCTCAATGTAATTAGTAACTATGTAAACTTCTAAGCTTCCAGTCACTTGTACCTATGGGTAGTACACTAGATACAACCAACAGCAGCTTTTTTTTTTTTTAAATTAGATCTTTTAGGTTTTAATGCTCTAGACCATTTTGATAGTTTTGTGCATTTTTTATTTTTTATTTTTTACGATTTCATTTGTCAGATCTTGTTTTAAATAGGAGCAGCAAAGTGCTTCATGCACAATGATTTTAAAAACTGATTGGGCAGAGATTTGGGTTTTTAGTAAGACTAATCATACTTAATTCAGCTAATGTCCAGTTTCCAGAGTATTCTGTATAGCTACTGAAGAAGGTAACTGAAATAAAACTGGATTTGTGTGCAGATTTAAAAGTTTTCCGCCTTTTTCTCCTTGTTACTAAAATATTCATCACACTTTATGAAAATCCACATTCCTCATGAACATCTAAGTCTTTTCCAAGTAATACACTATTAGTAAAGGCTTTAAAAAGCTGAAAGCATTTCAAACACGCGAAGAATCCTGATCCCAATTAAGTCGGTGGGAGTTCTGCCATCGAGTTCACTGATGCTTAGTTTTATTCTCCAGATTTAGTTACAAGGAAAGAACCATCTTGAAAAAAGTTAACTATTTAAACATATCAAAATCAGCAAAGCTGCCTGCACTGGGGCTATCCCGTTCGTTTAATGCAGCTAGTACATAATACAAGTAGAGAACGTGTAGCAAGTCTCTGAGTCTTGTAGGTGACTGCTGTTTACTCAGGCAGAAGTTTTACAGTGTCCTTTTTAGATGAGTCACATATTTCCCTCCACATTGACAAGCTCAGAAAATATTTACTTTCTAAGAGCCTGTTTCCAGAGAGGCTGTGTCAAATTATCAAAAAATGTTTCAGTCGTGTAAAGTTTTTAAATAAACCCATGCCTGCAGGCTGGAATTACTCCTTGATAGCCAGTGGGAAAGCAGTAGGTGCTTTGCAATATTCTTTTTTTTTTTTTTTTTGGAGGGAGGAGTGAAGAGGAGGAAGAAAGGCGGCATGGAGGGAGAATTAAAAAAAACAAAAGAAAAAGAAAAGATAAATCAGGCCTAAAAGCAAAAGAACAGGCATAAACATCAGCAGTAAGTTGGGACTGTCTGCTTGAGCTAGACCTGGAGGCTATGCCAAAGAGAGGTCAAGGAAATGTGCAGCCCAAAACTAGAATCGTAGAATCATAGAATGGTTTGGGTTGGAAGGGACCTTAAAGATCATCTAGTTCCAACCCCTCTGCCGTGGGCAGGGACACCTTCCACTAGCTTAGGGTGCTCAAAGCCTCATATAACCTGGCCTGGTACACTTCCAGGGATGGGGCAGCCACAACTTCTCTGGGTGACCTGTTCCAGTTTTTCACCACCCTCAGAGGGAAGAATTGCTCCCTTAGATCTAACCGAAATCTCTCCTCTTTCAGTTTAAAGCCATTACCCCTTGTCCTATCACCACATGCCCTAGTAAAAAGTCCCTCTCCACCTTTCTTGTAGGCCCGCTGTAGGCTACTAGAAGGTGTCCCCATAGCCTTCTCTTCTCCAGGCTGAACAATCCCAGCTCTCTTAGCCTCTCTTCATAGGAGAGGCACTCCAGCCTTTGGATCACCTTCATGGCCCTCCTCTCAACCTGCTCCAACAGGTCCATGTCCTTCTTATGGTGGGGCCCCAGAGCTGAATGCAGAACTCCAGGTGAAGTATCACAAGAGCAGAGTTGAGGGGGAGAATCACATCCCTCAACCTGCTGGCCACACTTCTTTCTTTAAAGAAGCGTGAGGAGCAATGACACCACAGGCATAAAGAATGCCCTGTGCTTTTCTTGGGCTCCAGCATGCCCAAGTGTTTTGCATGCTTCTTTCTCATGCACAATGAAACAGTTAATGAAAAATTGTGTCAAGCCAGATAGTGGGCTCGAGCATCTTAATTTAGCATGGCTCAAGTTGTTGTGAGAGTATCACAGCACCAGAGATGAGCTGAGGCTGGCAGTCCAGCTACCCTGCTCGTGCAGGGTTACCTAGAGCGGGTAGCTCAGGACTACGTCCAGTTAGGTTTTGAGTATCTGCAAGAATGGAGCCTCTCTGAGAAAACTCTTCCAGCACTTGACCACCCACGCAGTAAAAAAGCCTTATGTTTAGACAAGATGTCTTGTCTTCCAGTTTGCACCCACTGCCTCCTGTCCGCCTCCCATTTCTCACAGGACGTTAGCGGGTTCACTTAACTAACTTCAAATATAGCGTATTCATCATGATTTCACTTACCAGGTCAAATTAAAGGACAAACCCAACAGCTTGTAGATCATGGATTCAGTGAGGCCAGGGGAACTGGAAAGATCGGAGGGACAGCCAAGCACAGCAGTGATGACAGCAGATAGCTGTACCAAGATCCATTGATACAGAAACTTAGGCAGTACTCTAGCTAGCCACACGTGTGCCTACCAAGTGAGGCAGAGGAAATATAAGCAGAAACAGTAAAAACTCTGTACCCAAGTCTTCCCAAACTCTGTTTAGCCACAGTAAACATGATAACATACATTGCATAGAAAAACACAGGAATTTCAGTGTTTCTGAACAAGGTACTTACCAGGTGCTTATGTCTGCCATACCAGAAGCACAAGGGGGTAGCCTATCCAAAATAAGGGGCGCGAATACAGGAAACCTCAAGAGAAACTATTAATTGGGTCCAGAGTCCTTAGAACACGTACCACAGCTGCCGCCTTTGCTACTTCCTAAGCACTAGGTATGGTATGCATCTTGTGCTCTGTGTCGCACAAGCATAAAACTAATACCTATGAAAAGCAATGTTTAGTCAATAACTATCAAGCTATACAGTGAGAAATAGAGTCACCTTTCACTTACACAAATATATTCACATAATCTGTGCTGGCTTAAAACATAGAAACGAGTAAAAACAAAATAGAATTTGCATGTCATTATGACTGAACAGCCTAGATATTAAACCTTCTGGCGTATGAAAGTACTTGAGCTTTGGAGTAGTGCTATCTGGCCCATTGATGAGGTAGTTGTAGGCTGACAATGAGCTTTCACTGGGCAATGAACTGACATTTAGCATTTTGAGGGAAAATAATGGAAGATTGGCAAGGAGGATTGAAAACATGCTCAAGTGACTTGCAGCTGGGACGCAGAAAAACACATATGCTATAGAAATTGTTGCTTAGCTTTGTGTGTTGGACAAGTAGAACATTTGTGTTTAGATAACATAGGCCTGTGATAGGCTTAGAGGCACTCTATCGGACATACTTGAGATTCCTGCCCTGCTGTAGGAAAGATCAAAGCACAGTGGTAAACTATCTCTGTGTGAATCCTTTAAATACAAGTCAAAACAGCAGGTTCAGTGATCCTCTAGCATGGACCAAGCTCCACGGTGCCTGCGTCCCCACTGGTGTGCCTCTGCCAAGGTGCTGCTTCAGGGATCCCCTGGTTGGAGAGGTAATGAAAATAAATTTACCCTTTTTGTTTCATTTGTGGTTTTGTGGTTGTTCCTGCTTCCTGCCTGTGCCAGCTCACATGCATTTCATATGCTTTCATCCAGAAAGGTGTTATTGAGCAGCACCACTGTAAATTGAAGAGAGTTTAACATTTACTTGGGTCACAGCTAAGATCTTTAAGTGGTAAGAGATACTGCCCTAAAACATTGATATTGCTAAATCATTCAGGCCAGCAACAACAGGAGAAACTCAGTCTAACTGTGGTTTGGTACATTGCCTAAGATTTCAGTGAGGGAGCCTCAAGAGAAAGGCGTAAGGATGCAAAGTAATACCAGGGGTGGAGTCAAGTGCAAGATTGACACGAATTCAGCAAATTACAAGGGTTTGGTAGTTTTGTTGTTGTTTTGGAGAGCCGTTATTAGAAATTTTGCAAGAAGAGAAGTTGTCAAGTACCTGTTTTGCATAGGAAGGCTCTGTAGCGAAGAGTGCCTGGAAGACACATGCCATATGCAAGGCAAAAGCTGACAACAATGACTCTTCCAGGAATGCAAGCGCTATCCCTGTCCCTGCGGCTGTGGCTGATGAGGACTAGATTCACAGAAGCTCAGGACATGTTCTGGGCAGGGTCCTACTTTTGTAAACCAGGAGATGGGAAGTTCTTTTTCTTCCCGTGCTGAGATGTGGAAGCTCTGAAGCCTCTAAGAGGAATTGTTGCTGGGAAAGGGTCCTTTGCTGCGTAAACACCGTTTCTTAATGTTCTTGTGGATAACTGATCCTAGAATTACTTTCTATCTAACTCACTACAAAAATCTTAACACATATGAATTAGTTCAATTTGTTATTTAAGCCTGGTAACACTTAGTTAAGTCTCTTCATGTTTGAGCATTATTCATCTCTTCCATTGTTGATGTATAGAGAAACATAGCAGAATCAAAATCTACCTTATATGTAACCCCGCCTTCATCACAAAGATTTTCCTCAAACCACAAACATACAAGGTGTGCTATTCACTAGATAATCCTTATAGCTATTTTTTCACACTCCTCTCACGGCCGAGAGAAAGCTGTGTTGCAAGAATACAGCCTTTCCAAGGTTACAAGAGGTGACCTGCCTGCAGTGACTCTGTTTGCAGAGACAAGCAGAATGACGTGGAGCTCAGTGCTTTTCAATCATATCATATATTCTGCTCCTGCCAGTTTAGCTCATGAAAGTCCTTAAATGTCAGAGTCTTATGTTC